TTTCATACAATGATTTTGATTTAGGCGAGCTGTATAGATTCTACAGCTCAACCTGAAGCAGTATTTGCATCGGAAGTAAAAAAATTAATTGCAGACAAATTGAAACCTCAAGAACAAATCACATTGGAACCATATGAAAGAGATCATGCTGTTGTAGTTGGAGTTTATAGGCCACCACCTAAAAAAGCTACTTAAAATTATGTATATATATATATATAGATATATATATATATATATATTTTATCTATTTACTAAGAATGCATCATATGATTATGATCCTTAGAACTGATCCTTATATAATAAGTTTTAATTAAAAAATGAAAAAATAGGAATTATTTGTAATATAATGTAAAGTAATTGATTATGCAGATAATTAGAGTATTTTCTACAAAAAAGAATTAATTTCATTATTATACCTGTACAGTTTATATGTAGAGAGACGTACACGTACGATTAATTAATACAAAATTTATATTTTAAATATATACGATTAATTCATTTATACTTTCATACAAATAAAAAAATTTGATAAAATATATGATATATTTAATTGTGTATATAATATATAAATTTATTTTTGTATTATATCATATAATTGTATTGCAAAATCTTAAAAGACATAGTAGAATATTTTTAGAATTGCAAAAACAAGTGAAAAATGAAGTAATAACATTTATACATCTTTTTATTTAGCTAAACCTATTAGAATTAAATTTCAAAATTTTCATGTAAAAATTAACTTTAATTATAATCATTTCATTATGTTACATATGAACTAAGTAAAAATGCCACGTCCACTCTTAAAAGATACAATCAAGAGCGGTAAGTTATATTAATTTTTTTGACAGTATCACGCATAATTAACCATAATTAATGATAGAAAATTAATTCTAGAATATGTTATCGATGAAAATCATAAACCATCGAGTAAAGCAATTAAATTTAAAAAATCCGTAACTACAACAAGTCGTAAATTTAATTCAACCGTGAAAAATCGAGATCGTTTAGTAGGAGGAGCAGATGCTCCTGAGGAACAAAAAGACATATTGAAACTGCCAGAAGAAACGGAAGAAAAAACTCGTACAGCTGGACCATGTTGTACTTGTTTGGCGCAAGTACCAGGATCAACCGGGTATAACTCTTTTCTAATGATATTTTATAGGAAGATTGATTTATATTGAAGAAATATTAAAAAAAAAAAGAACAATTTTAATAAAAAATTAAAATTAAAACTCGTTTTAAGATTAAAAAATCTCGTTTGTATAAGATATTGTTTTACAAATACAGAGATAAGAAGGTGGATGAAATTATTGATTATGTGCATCAAAATTTACAAGAAGCGGGTAAAGCATTGGCTACCTTAGGCGAGAATTTTGAGCACGATTCAAAGGTTGAGCCCTGTACGCAAGTAAAACCGTCATGAAATTGGGAAGACGAGGGTACAATAAATGAAATCGTTTTATAAAGTTGAATATATAATTAAATAAAAATGAATAAATGAATCTGTTCGAAACTCCCAATTTCGTAAAACAAATAAATTCGTAATGTTTTCTTCAAAATAAATTTAATTTTATAAAAAATATAAATAAGCATAAAATAATAAATGCAAACTGAATTTATTTTTTATGAAAGTTGATGTTCGTCGATATACTTGGTCGAATACAACAATGGAGCGGTTTGGTTCAAAACAAATTGGATATTTGTAACAATGAAATTGAAACATTGCGTGAAGAATTAATAGCACGAGCTTGTGAAATCGAAAATCTAAAAAATTTATTGGGAGAATGTGAAGCAAGTTTTATTGATTAAAATTGTTAATTTACTGCAATTTTTAAGATATTCTTTTATAAAATTTTATACTATTCTTTTATAGAAAGAACGTGCAGCCGCTCTAATTCAAGCGGCTAAAGCACAAGAAGAAGCAATTCAAATTGGTGAACGTTTTGAAATTCATAAAAAACAAGAAGAAGAAAGAAGAAAGATAATTCCAGAAGTAACAAAAGAAATAAAAGAACCAACAGAAATAAAAGAACCAAAAGAAGTAAAAGAACCAATAGAAATAAAAGAACCAAAAGAAGTAAAAGAACCAAAAGAAGTAAAAGAACCAAAAGAAATAAAAGAACCAAAAGAAATAAAAGAAGGAAACGAGCCTGAAAAAGAAAAGATAGAAATTATTTGTACAGATGCAGCTATTCAATCAATTTTGAAAGACAAAGAAAAAAGACGAGAAATTGAAGTAAATTAAGATTTTTTTTATTTTTTTATTGTAAATTCAAATAAAACATTAAAATAATAATTTGTTTAAATAGCTTGAAGGTGAAATAGCAAGACTCCGCAAAGAAAATGAACGTATTATAAAAGAACGTGCTGAATATGAGAATGCGATACAACGAGCATTACTTCGAGGTGTTTCATCTTTGAATGTCGAAGCATTGAAAGTTTTACGTTGTCCACCAATTCCATGTTGTACTCCTTGTGCACCTTGTCCTGCTTCTGCTATGTAAAGTTTTTAATTTCTTTTAGCCAACTATTAATTACAATAAAGAATTAGAAAGAAAAAAATCAATTTTAAAGATTAATTTAAAGAAATTAATAAAAAAAAAGTTTAACAAAGATATTCTATATATTTTATTTATAATACTTGGAGTATATTATGCTTGAATATTTCTTGAACGTTTGTCATTATGATCCTTTCACTTCGAAATAAAAAAAATAGAATTTATTGATCTATATCTAAACAAGGTCAATCCTGACTCATTAAAGTTTCACTTTCAGAGAATCGGTTGTACCATGTGCCAAGAAAGGCACTACGTCAACTGGGATCGCTAAAAATTGCGGCACTAAACGTATCGGTAACGGAAGCACCGTTCATGAAGAAAATTGCACTGTGAAACGACCTTGCGCCAGTCCTTGTTGTTCTGCTGGAAAAAGTCGGCAATCTGCAATGAACAATAGTACGATATTTCTTCTTCATCAGGGAGATACAGAAAATATTTGTGGATCAAATAATGTTTCAGTGCCAATTTGCGGTTCTCCAGTTATGAAAAAAATTGAAATACCTCCGTGTCCTAGATTTACTATATGATAAGATTTCTTTTTATATCATTAAAATTAGCTATTTATTTAATTTCGTTAATGTTATCCGCGAAGTTTTATGCATACATTGCAAATAAATGATTTATATTGTATTTATGTTTTCTAAATATTATGTGATGATAATATATAATATAAAAAGGTAAATTCATTCAAAGTATGCATTTATGAATTAAATTATTATGATAAAATTACGTATAGCGAGTATTTTGTTAATAAAAAGTTGCGAATTACTTAAATTGTATATTATGAGTAGAGAATAATTGTATAATATGAATAGAAATGAAGAAAGAAAAAAAATATACATTAGAAAAAATTGTAAATACTTATTTACTATTCATTTTTAATTATGAAAATATCTATAATAAATTTCTATTCGTTTTTTAAAATTACAAAATATTTTTTTCTTTATGATGTGAAAATAAAAAAACACAATATTGAAAGTATAAATATAATTTTATATAACATTATCAGAAAAATATTATAAATATTAAACATTCATTCTCATAAATAACATTAAGATATTTTTCATTATTTAAAATAGATTTGAAGTACATAAAATTTGTATAATATTATATCGAATGTTATACATATATGATATTTCAAATATTATTCATAAATTATTTAATTTACACAATTCAATGAATAATAATTTAATTAAATATAACTTAAATTTTAATATTTTTAAATTTATTAATTTTTGATTTGTTAAGTTATTAAATTTTAAAATTAAATGATAAAATTTTCCACAACAATAATAAGTTTATAAATGTATAATATTTATAAATATGTAATATTTTATTCTTTTAAGTACTAAACATCATTATTTTTAACATATATTTTTAACACAATTTTTAACGATTTAAATAAAAAAAATTAATTTCATTACTTAAAAAAAACAAGATGAAATCATACATAAATATTATTATACAATGATATTAAAATATTTTAAAAATATATTAATAATAATCACATTGTTTTTTTTAAATTTTTGAACATTTTCTGATACACATTGAATAGTAAAATATGTCAAAATTACTATTTTCTTTCATAAAATATTTTATATATTCTTAAAAAGAATTATGAACATATATAATAATATATTAATTTTGTATTGTAATATTTTAAATAACATTCATTTGTAACTAAATAATTATATTCGTATACAATAAAAAATTAAAAAATAGAAAAAAATCAATATTAAAACATTTTGTGTTGTAAAACGTATGGCTGTTAACGTTTTACAAGCTGAAAACGATAACGAAATCAAAAGATTTATCGTTTATTCGTCATGAGAAATTATTTCTAAAATATAATAGGCTTATCTGTGTTTCTCGTTTGGCATGATATATCGCGATGCGAACACTTTTCAGTCAGAATCGCATAGTATAGAATCTAAAATATGTATTGTCACGAATTACGAGGCCATTGGTTGAAAGTGTTCTGGCAATCGTTCAATTCATACCGATCGAGAAATCTCGGTCTCGAAATTTTTTAAGTTTATTTTCATAAACGGCGCAATTATTTTACCAAAGACGTTTTTAAATGCTATTTAGTCATTTTCTGTATATATTAATAACATTATGAAAGTATTTGCAAAGTATAACAATAATCAAAAACATAATTATAGCTGGTCCAGCAGCATAATAATATTATTAATATATATATATTATTAGCAATGTTGGATATCTAATATAACGAAAATATCACATACTTTCTCAAATATATATATACCATTTTGGGAAATGATTCATAAATTTTTCTTTACATAGAAATACTAATTTGTAAAACTTATGAAAAATTTCCCTATGTAATTACCGTATTGTCTTTGTGTCATTCGATCAGCAGTTTAAGAGTGTCTTGAAAAACGTCTTAGACAACATTGTTCAATTTTATTACATCGATATGACTATCCTTACATGAAAAAGTAATTAAAATAAAAAAATATTATTTTAAAATGTTATGTGTACAAAATATTCCTTAAAAAAGTAAAAGGAATGTTACAAGAAAGCACGTCATCAAATCAATCTGTTTTTCGACGCCTTCTAGTGAGGTAGCAGTATGAAAAAAATGTTAAAAGAAGAAAAGTATTGGGGGCCATTTTAAATACAGTGGTCCCTTGGCCAATAATAAAAAATCATACTTCGAAGAAAGAAATTTACTTATTATGAACCAGATTAAGGAATTCCTCGCGAGTCTTGGGATCATCCCGGAATACGCCAAGCATCGTTGATGTAACTGTCTTGCTATTTATTTTCTGCACTCCTCTCATCACCATACACATATGCCTGTAACATGATAATGGTATTTTTCTTTTAATGTCTCAGTGCTGCTATAGTTGAATTTCATTCTTAGAAGAAGAATTGATTCTTTATATATATATCAAAATTATATATATGTAAAATTATACTATGTTGAAAAGATCTATTAATCTAATAATGTAATTAAAAAATTATAATCAAGACATATTATGACATATATTTATTAATAAAATACAAATTATTTGTTGTAACGAATATGATATTTAACTTTAGATTATGAAGAAAGTGAATGAAAAAATTATTAATCATTTATTTTGATTATTTTTTTTATAAACTTTTAAATTAAAAAAAACTATAATTATATAGTAGCATTGTTTATATATAATTTAATTTAATTAAAATATAGTTTATAATTATATATATTAAATTATTATTTATATAAAACATTGATCTAGATTGATCTAGATTGTTAATAACTTTGAATTGTTATTTATTATAATGCAATATTTGTATCTTGCAAAGAAATCTAGATTAATTTCATTTATATTTTAGTGATTCATTCATATTATATATCATTATATATATATAAAAATCATTAAATAAATATAAGTATTAAGCATTCTTATATACGTTTTTAAACCAAGAATAAATTGTTTTCTATTGAACGAGAATGCATTTTAATTCTTTACTAAGTGATAGCACCTTATTAGTACAAGGTTACATTCCTACGTGCGATTAATCCTTGCGAAAACTATTGCTCAAGATTCGAATGTATTGGAATGAAATAGGGTACAAAAAGAAGAAGATATAATATAAAAATATAATGTTATGTACATTTTTGCAATATTTTCCTTACATTTATTAAAGCTAAATCATAAAGTTATTCAATAAATTTTATTTATTTTTAATGATAAAAATACATACACTCCTTCGACGACTACAGCCACTCCTGCTGGTTGCACTGCTTTCGTTACCGCTACCGCGATTTGTTTGGTAAGACGTTCTTGCACTTGAAGACGTCTGCTGAAGATCTCTACAATCCTATTAAATATAAAATAAAAAAAGAAAATAAAAATCGAACGATATAAAAAACTTTGATTGATTAATTTGAATATATAAAAATTTATTCATTGTTCACAAAGTTAATAATAAATATCAAATTTATAATATTTTTTTTATAATTAAGTAAGTGGCCATTTGTGCATTCGCCGATTGAGTGAGCAATGTGTGAAAGTGGACGGTATACCAACACTTGTATTTTTTTCTTTCCGCTTTAAATATTTCTTTAATCAAATGCGTAATTATTACCAATGCAATATATAATCTCTTCGTGAAATATATTATTGGGATTGGTTCATCATTAATTTATCTTAACGAATTTTTATTTTACTTTTATGATTACATAAATAACCAAATTGATGATGAAATAATCTACATTCGATAATAATTTTAATTATCATATATATTGATGCAAGTTGCATCAATTCTTATTCAATTAATTCATAAAAATTTGCTTGTTAATTATACATAATATGATAATTTTATCATTTTTTTATCAATTTGGTCATGTTACGATTATAATCATTTAATCTTCAAAAAAATAAATAAATTTATACGATTCGAGATGTATTGATTTTCGAAAATACAAAATAAAACAATGTGCAATAATAACAGATAATCAATGTAATTTATAAAAAAAAATAATAATAATAGTAATAAGAGTTACTCATTAATAAGTAACTTTTAATAATTAATTTCAATAAATTATTTTAATTTAATTATTCAATTCAATAGAAAGGATTTATTAAAGTAATTTATTTATAATTATTATATTATATATAATAATTTATTTATTTATTAAAGTATACAAATGCTAATTAAGACAATTTCTTATTACCTGGCTAATTTACTGAGACCAAGGATCTTTTTACAAGGAAGATAACCGATCGACACCTTCCCATAGAAAGGTACTAAATGATGTTCACACATGGAGAACATCTCGATGTCCTTCACTACAACCATCTCATCGTGATCTTCATCGAAAACTGCATCATTTATAATGTCTGTAAAAGGAAGGTAAGAAAAAAATTCGCATATAAATAAATACTACGTATAATAATAAGGAAGCAAGAAATCGTAATATTATTTCAAAAAATTTCCTATAGGTACAAGGAAGCTATGATCTATCAAGATCACGCGATTATTGCACAATTCAATTGCAATGCAAAAGCAACCTTGTACAAAGATGAGAAACGATCGTCGTTTAAATTGTTCTGCGAAGAAAGAACATCTTGCACGTGGGTTAAGGTCCTCACGATCCTAGCTGTGATTTACTCGATATTGACCTACTTACTACATCGTCTAGGCTAGTGGTGGTGTATAGGTATGAGTCGGTGGATAGTAGGTGTTGGTGGGTAGGTAATGGAGGGTGCTCTCCACGGTTTCCACGGCAACCTTAACAAGAAACACCTTCACAATGACCGACAATGATGAAACCAATTCATATTCTGGTTAACCAAAATGTACTTTTTATGTTACGTATTTTCCTATACATAATACAATTTTTGCTATCGATCGTAGCAATGATTCTTCGCATTTTTTTCTTTTTGCAAAGAAACGATAAAGATATGAATTTTACTGGATTTTAAGGGAAGTTTACTTTTATGTGCATGTCTATCTCTATTCTCTATTAGACTATACTTGAGTTTAATTTCCTCTCTTCTATACGTACTGCCTTTGAAGCAGACGTTAAAAGCGTGTAGTTTAATTTTTCGATTCAATGATCTAATACGATCATCGTTCGATTGGAATTCCATGGAATTTTTTTCTATTATCGACAAACTTAATATGTAGTTTTTTTTATTAATATATATCTCCATTTATCTCTATTTAGAAATAAAAAAAATTAACGAAAAAAAAAAATACAATCACAAACATATGGTATAGAAAGTGAGATAAGGAAGTGATATCGATTTTGCATGCATCGAATAATGAAATATATATTTGTATATAATATTTTTGTCTAATATAAAACAATATATTAGCTGCCATAATAATTATGAATATTAACTCTAATAATAGGATTTTAATGTTCGTGACTTTCACTCTATAATCTTGTTCAAAGTAATTTTCTCCATTGATTTTGAAATTTTCATTAAAGAAAATGTATATTATATGTACATAAATGTACATACATATAATATTCACGTACAGTTGCAACGGAAATTCGGTCAAGCTTATCGATAAGAAAGACAAAGAGAAATTGTCAGAGGGGAACGGTTCCGTGAGAACCGTGGAAAGTAGTTACAAAAGGGGTGTGGGTTGAGCTTTCGTAGGAAAGTGGTCGGGACTCGTTTCAGATTCACTGGGGCGAGCAAAACTATCGTTAACGGAGCTTATCTTGAGAGCAATTCCACTTTAGAAGAAAGAAAGGTTAAATCGAAGTGAATTAAAGTCTTTCCACCACCTGTAGCTATTGTTCCACCCATATTAAAATCGTATAGAATCGTACTAGTATTTATTGCTAGCTATTTAATTTTCAATTGGTATTGAACCATAGTTATACCATAACTCGCAACACTTAAATTAAGTGAGTTATTGTCAGAATAAATCTCTTATTTTAATTTCTATTCTGTGTTTTACGTAATATAGTAAACGATATATTCATGTAAAAAATATATAATAATATGTATATATATAATCATGTAAAAAATATTTATGTATATAAAAATATGAATAAAAATTAAATGATTAAAATTAGTGTTAAATGATCCAAGTTAAATTTAATCTAATGTAAATATAATTATCGCAATTACATTTGACCCAATTATATTATCAGAATGAATACTGAGAATATAAATAAAAGAAAAGAAAAATAAGCAAATGCTTATTAAATAAATTGGAACGATAAATTATTTAACAAATTAAAGATTATAAAATAAAATTATAAAATATTCATAAATTATAAATTACATATTTTTAGATAATGTATCTAAAAAAAAAAAAAAGGTGGTATAATGTAAAATCGCTAATAATGATTTTATTTTATTTAACTGTTCGTAAAATCATAATTACCGGAGAATAGTAACAGTCTACTTGGCATAAGATAAATGGAAGGAAAAGGTGAAAGGCATTCTTTTCGAATTCGCTGTGCGTCCCTGAGACCCATTTATATTATGAGCTTTACGCTCTCTTTTTTCGAATCATAGATACTTAAGTCTTCCTCTCTTTTCCCTTGTGACGGATCTCGAGCAACTTGAAGGAGAGAAAGAAAGAAATGGACGAGTACTTTTCTCGAGTGGGTATATTCATGGTTTTATTTGTTCCATTGACTTTATAATCTAAGAAAATCCTGATCAAATCGTTCGTACTATCTTTAATTGAATAAAACATTTAATTTTCTTTGATTGAAAAAGTAAGCCTTCTTTACTCTAATTCATGTATAAGAACATCGTTATTTAATATTTTTTCATTTCAATTGAATAATACTTAATTTAATTTATTTGTTTATAATTTTTTTATATATCTTTTATGAATAAAAAAGAGAGAAAAAGAAAAAGAATATTATTGGAAAAATAGACTTACCATCGATACATTGATCATAACCCTTCGTGAAAAACAGCATAGCTTTCGCGGCACGTTCCGGAGTTTTCAAAAGACCTGGTCGATTCGGGTCCTCGCCAAGCGAGCTCAAAAGTAACTTGTAACTCCGTGACATTTCCGGAAGAAGGGCTTCGCGCGTGGGTGGCCTATGATCTAGCTCCAAATCGTGGTGAAACGTGCATTTTTCGTGACCTAGAAAAAGACAAATTAAAGATTTTCTAATAATTTTATGGATTTTTTAATATTTGCTATATTCACTAACAAAAGATTTACATTTATCTTAAAAGTATGAAAAATATTGAACGGAAATAACATTATTGCTCAAGCGTTGTTCCTTATGCAATCTGCTTCGATTTTTCAATTGAAACTAAGACAAAAAATATGTACAAATATCATTATTATCACCGGCAATGACCGCAATGACCCTATGAAAAGATTTATAATGCGAGTTTACGACACTTTGCGTGTGGTAAGAAAAAAACCAATGTGTATTTTTTTTATCTAGCAAAAAGTTTTAAAGTTTTATTTTCACAATCAATTTATGCAATATATGCTAGTTATTTATATACAAACACTCATAATTATTTATAGATATATATATATATTTTTTTTTTATAACTTTTTTTGATTTTTCTTAGGAAAAAATATATGTATATACAAAGAATTTGAAATTTTGATAAACAAAATGGAATCATAAGTTACGAACTTTTATTAAAAGTGGATATCCAACAACGAAGTTTTAATTGGCAACTAAATCGAATCAGGGAAAAACTTAACAATGAAACGTAATTCGAAGTAAATTTTAAACTAATTATAAATTTTTTTGCACCAGTTCCTTTTTTTCTTCTCTTTTTTTTTCTTTCCTTTGCTTACTTCAAGGAATACGAACGATCGCGTATTCATAAGCGCCTATCGTTTCCATTCACGATTAACATAATGCTTTAATTAACAGTCACTGATATCGATCGATCGATCGTTTGGCGAAATCTCGTGTAGCGATTCGAACGATGTATGCATATAATATGTAATATATATTCCAAAGTGATGTGATTCGATGATGAAGTTTGCTGTTGATGGTCGGCTACGTATGCACGCGTTGCCGAACTTGTTGCATAACGATTAACGACGACGTTACAGCGATGAGAAGGCGAGATTTCTATCGATAGAAATAATTTATCACTTGTATAACACTCCATTTGCGAGCAATCTAGAACGTATTAAAGCGAAACTGCTCTCGGCACTTCTCTCTTGTATAGATTTATTCTCCGAGGATAGAATCTAACGCTGGAACTGACGTATTCACGATGGAAAACTAAGTTAAACCATCCTCTTCCTAATGAACGGTATCGTGTAATTCAATCGAGCAACGACACCGCTCTGATAGCATGAATAAATCGAGGTTTTCCACGGTCAATATGCACACATTGTTCGACATTGCTGAAAAGAATTAATCAGATTGAACTGTATGGATCGTTTTAAATCTGTTTATTATCGTAAAAATTAAATTTTTTTTACTTAACTGTGAAATTATATTTCACTAAACGAATGTTGAAACGAGTAGATAAATTTGAATTCGTATTTTTGAATTCGTTTGAATGCGTTAATGAATGGATTATTTTGAAGAATCCGATAAAATTTTTTGCAATGATGAAACTTATTTTGACAAAATAAATAAATAACGAAATAATAATAATAATAAAATAATAATAATTGAAAGATTTTCGATATCGTTTCATCGATGAATCAATGAATGATTTCGACGAATGTAATATGAGTACCGACAAACACAACAGATATACGAGATTTTTCGAAAAATGAAAGGAATTCTCTATTCCTTCAGAAAGTCAGAGGAGATCATACATTCGTAAGGTCACAGCTACGCGTTACATACAATCATAACTGTACTCCAACAGTTCCCAAGGTCTTTTATCATTTTTAAGATCTGCAGGTTACGATTGACCTGGAAACGAGAAGTATGACGTGAGTATTCTCCAAATATTTTTCGATTTTATGAATGATAGCAATAGAATAAAATTAAATGTTGTCAATTATATGAATTAAACGAACAAATAGCGATAAATAAAGAGGATGAGAGATTTAATAATGAAAGACTTAATAAAGAACTTTTAGTAATAATTTTAGTAATTTAATTAATAGTAATAACTTTTAGTAATAATTCATAATTCGTAACATAAATAATACATGATAAATAATAATAAATAATACATATCTCTATTTTTTTTTTTTTTACAAAAACTGCAACAGGCTGCAGATTGAAACAAGTTATGTGCCACTTGTTACATTCATGCAATTGATTAAATGCAGAACTAACTAAGCAAAAATCGAGAAAATTAAAATTTTTTTCTTGAATGTAGATAAAATACATCGAAAATTTAATAACGATTAACTTATAATAGAGAATTTATAGTAAATTATAGATAATAACTTGAGTTGTTATTGCAATGAATTTAGATACTATGAATAAATCGAGATTTTGAAATAGGGAATGACTACTTGTATGCCACTGTTATCGTATCCATCATGATTATCAATTGCGAAATAAATCGGAGAATAATTTTAATAACAGGAGAATAAAATATTCTTTAATTGCTCCATTATGAATCTATTCCACGAAATAGGAATTCAATAATAGGTTTTAATAATGCATTAATAATAGTTGCTAATAACAATTTATATTACCTACCTATTTCTAATAATCCATTAGATTTATCCGTCATTAAAAGTCTTGAAAATTACTTTGTGGTCTAGAAAATATTACGTAGGCAAAATGCCCAATGATTAAGACAATGGACTTTTCTCGGAAACGATACCTGGCGTTGTGGAAGTTCGCGGAGTTCTAGGAGTTCCTGGCACATCCAAGTTACTTTCCTCGACGTTCTCTGACCAGGAAACAGTTCTTAATGGTCCCGGTTTTTTTATCATCATTGTGTGTTTGTCTTCGTCATCATATATATTTAGATCCTTAATTTTAGTACATTGGTTGGAAATTCCGTTCATGATTGGGGCTTTTTAACCTTGTTTGCCACTTAAATTATAGCAAACGATCCCTTTTAAATTCGAGAGATGATCGGTCGATGAGGAACACAGATGGTCTATCAAAATTGATTCAAGGCATTTTGAACGAATGGTATAATAATTGGAAAATAATATTAATAAAAGAGAGAGAATCGATATAATGTCAAATGTTAAACATGTCGAATTTAAAATTATAATATTATAGAATTATTTATTAATATCACTGGAATGTTTACTTATATTGCAATAAATAAAAATATAATGAATTTCTATGGTATTTGATGTCGAAATGATAGTTGTATTTTATGTAAAAATTGTTTCATTAAATGTGTAATCAGATGATAATAAAATAATTTCTCCATCTTTTATCAATAAACTTGTCAATAAAAAAAATTGTTTAACAAAAGAATTTTTTTTTTAAAAAGAACCATATTACAAATAACGCGCGATTTTCAATTTGATCTCAATAGCTCTACCACGTGATTCACGAACAATACGCGTGTGTATAGCAAGTTTTAGCGAATCGCGTTCAATCTCAATCAAACCAATGAAACTTACTCGCAAGCAGATTCAATCGGTAGGTTCACGTGCACCTCGGAACTTTTTGGAGTATCAATGCAGTAAAGGTGGAACGTCGTTGAAAAATTTCTATTTTCAGTTATTAATCTTATTTTGTCCTTTTGCTTTCCAAAGACTAAATGTTTATATTCGCAATAGCAATAAAACTATTTTTTAGATAAAAAAAAAAACAAGGAAAAATAAAGAAACGACAAATATTTATTCGAGACACGAGAGAAGAGAAACTAAATAAAAAGGATAGTAGTCAACGAGTCCAAAAGGAAAGAAACGAGCACGAAGTCGCTCGATCAAGTGACGCAGTGTGACTGAACCGACAGAACCGTAGAGAGTGCGATTGTCCCCTATGTATGTATGGTTCTTCCCTCTCTATCTCTCTTTCTCTCCCTCTTTCGCTCTAATCGTAATGCATCTGCATTCCTTTTTCGTTTTCAATAATTTTTTTTTGTTTTTTTAAATTCTGTCTTTTTTATTTAAATATATATTATGTTGTAATATCACATTTGATTTCTTCAAAAAGCAAGTTTATGCAATTAATAAATTAAAATTCGCATCGCGTTCAATATATATGAAAAAAATGCAAAAATACACAATCAGTAACCCAATGCTGATATTGATTATACGTAAAAATGAGATTAATAATAACTGATAATAACATAAAAATGAGAATATCTCCAAGTGAATAAGATCTTCCCTCTCTAGTATATAAGAGGGAAATAATGAACTTTATCCGGAATCCACATTGCAAATTATAATCTCAAGTGACAAGTAGCGCCTTGATTGACGGAAATTGTTGAAATATTTGTAATGTGCGAGGTCCACACAACAAATAATTATATTAATTTTTTAAAAATTATGTACATATATATAAAAAATATTGAAAGATTTAAATATTATGATACTTTATAATGATAATTTACAATAAAATAAAAAATACAATGATTTGAAATATAATTTTTTTATTTTATAATAATTATCAATTGTTAAAAAAAAATTTTAAATATATAAAAAATTAAAGCTAAAAATTTTTTTATTAATCAAGTAGCATTTGCATATCATAAACAATTAGAAAAAATAATAAAAAAAATTAGAAATAAATAATATGATATCGCGGATTTAGAATAACATTGCTTATAGGGAAAAATTTATCTTAATATAGGAAAGCACAGAAAATTCATTCTATGAGTTTTTAGAATGCGAGTCAGAATCTACGTCATCATGATTTCTAAGAGACCGGTTTCCCACACTTATTACCTTTTCCTTCTATTTGCAGGATTTCTTAAGATTGTGCATAGACGTTTCCTAGTACCGTCCTACGCGTATGTTAAAATCTCAATTTCATAAGAATATTCAAGATTTCAATTTTTATAAATTATATTTTTCTATTTAAATAAGTTAAAAAAATGTAAGATATGAAGAAATTATTATTAATTTTTCTTCTAAAATATTGTAAAAATATCGAATTATTATAAAGACACGTATGCTACATACATTATATATGTGCATATTTTTTAAAATAATCTTGAAAATAATCCTAATATGATTTTAGTATTTTCATATTATTATTAGTAATATTGATAACAAAAACTATAACAATGACATTAACTACTCTCAGTTTCAATAATTAAATTTTATCATTGATGAGGTTATCATGATATTCAGGCTAAACTATTAAACTACAATGATTAAAGTTAATATAGCTATGGATATTGTACTTTGTGATAATACATCAAAGTCATTTATGTAATAACTTACTAATTATCCAAATTGCTTATTATTAAATTGTATCTTTTTTATTATTTTGCTCAAATATAAAATATATTTAGAAAACGTTTAAATATAAATTTAAAATTATATCCATACAACCTATAAAAATACATTTGTTCATATTATTTCCTAAACATAGTATATCTCGAGCTATATAAAAGCGCGCAAAACTATGATTCTCGCCCGTATTCATAGTTGCACTACTGAAACTTGTCTGAGTTCAACTGACCTTCACTACTTGCAATCAATACAAACTACTATTATAATTTTGTGAAATACATATTTGGTTTTTAATTTCATTAAATGTGTATCACTTCAATGATATGAAATTTAATAAAATAATATAAAATTCAAAAAAAAAATATTTTCGATGATTCATTGTATAATTTAATTAATGTTAGTCTAATGATTTAATGAATGCTAAATTTTTTTATATTAATAATTATGTTGAAAAGAAAAAAACTAAAGGAAAGATGACGTGTAAAAAGTTAAATCGTATCGGTAAAGAATTCGAAGTCACTCATGTAAAAAACAATAAGAAATTAATATCAAAAGCAATGTAGGATGAATGACATAAAAATAAATTTATTCCATTATTTGAAACATGTAATTATAAAAACAAAAAATCTTTGGCAAAAAAAGATTATTAATATATCATAATATTTCTATATGTAATAATAAGAATTAACTATTAATAATAAAACTTTTTCTTTTGATAATTATCTTTAGATAATTATTATTATATAAAAAATTTTTTTTATAAAATATAATTTTTCAAATTTAATATTTAAGGTAATAATAGAAATAAATAATGAATATTAATGTATATATATTTCGTACCATCGTAAAATATAATTAGAAATTCTATATTCAAGTTTTCTGTTCTATCCTAATATCGCATGCTTTATCCTAATACAGATATTTGATATTATTATTTTACTATTTGACACTATAGACATTCAATATCATTTCTAATACTATTTTGTTGTTATTTAATATGATTGACATACATAAATCTACTGTAATATGACATCGGGCCGTTTGAAAAGAAATGCAATGGATACAAGAAGATACAATTCCATATTATTACATACACAAAAAAAATAATCATAATTGAAAGCATAATAATAATGAAATTAAAAATTTATTATAAATTCTATTTAAAATATTTGATTTTATTAATTATTTTAAATTATTTAATTTTATTAAATTATAAATTTTTTATAATCATTATTCAGTTTATATTTTATTTATTAGATTATTTTTGATCTCATATTTTATTATGAGAATATCTAATAAAAGAATAAAATTTTAAAAATTAATAAACTCTTTAAAAATCAATAAATTATAAATAAAGAATTCTGTAAATTGGATAAAAATATAAAAATTGGAATATTAAGAAAAAACTTACTTTTTTTTGCTGTGTAATCCATTTTATCTTTAGAATAATCTTTAATATATTCCGCCATGAAAGTTTGAAAAAAAAACGATAGTTATGATTGTAATGTATATCATTTACTAATAATATTCTTTTAAACAACAGATTTATATATATACTGAGAATGAAAAACTTTGTCAAGTTAAATCTCCTACAATCTTCTATCAATTTGACATTTCTAATAGCAAGAAATACGCTTTATAATATTTATACTTATTTATAATATTGTTTCAAAACTTACAGTAAATGAAATTGTGATGAAAATATTTTAATTAAAATATAAAAATGAATAGTTAATCTTTTTTAAAATTAAATATAAAACGATTAAATAATATTATTAATAAATAAAATAAAATAAAGAAAATAATATAATAAAATGATTAAAAACTATTATTGTGTATATTAACATATTAATAAGTTTTACTATTATATGATATATAAAGATAGAAAATTTAATTTAGTTTTTTTAATGTATATAAATTAACGTATATTTATTTCTTTAAATTTTATGAAAAATCAAAATTATAAAAACTATTCAAATTTTATGAAAAATTAAATCTAATTAAATTTTGAGTAATATTAGAAAAATAAATATTTAATAGTTTAATCATATAATTACATTGAATATAATTTCATCAATTGCATTGAAATGTTATTTCTATTAAAAACAAAATGATTCATATGATATAATTATTATAGATAATAATTTAAACATAATTTTATTTTATGACTCAATAATTTGATACAAATATAAATATAAATTTATATTTATATATGTTATTGTATGTTATTTATATGTTTTTAATAAAAAGCAATTTTATTGAAAATAACATTTCCATTAACTCATTTATAATTATACAAATTTATATATATATATATATATATATATTAGAATATTATAGAATACACATATGTATATTATATTCTCAATGATTAATATGAATACATATTTTATTTAATGTAATTGTATAATTCACATTTTTGAAAATGTAAATGGATTAAATATTTTACATAATTTTTATTATTAAGAATATATTTATTATTAAGGATAATAAGCAATAATATTATATATTAAATTATAATATTTATAAAAAATTATATATAAATTAGTTTTAATAGCTAATTAAGAAATGCATTTTTATCATAGATTCTGTGTTTTTTTCAAACCCCTAAACCCTTTCTGTTAATTTCTAGTAGCAGAAATATGCGTTTTTTGCGAAATATATATATATATCATTTATATATTTCAAGCATATATAAGACGAAGTAATTTCTTTATAAATTCAAGCTTATTATTTTTATCATTTAATTTTAAAATTATTTTAAAAAAATTTCAACTGTGAAAATTGTTTTAGATGTAGTTATAAAGATAAAAATATTCTTATAAAAAATATTCTTATAAAAAAATTTCTTGAATATATTAATTAATTATAAAAATGGAAATATTAATATCAAATTTAAATATAATTATAAAACAAAAATAAAAATATAATGTTTCGATTTACTATACTTTTGTTTTTATCATATTAGAACGAAGTTGTACCTGTAAATGCATCAAATATTTTATTTTTCAATAGAAGAAATAACCTCGAATTTTATGTCCTTTTTAATTAATTCTTCGATTAATGATGTTTTACCAAAAGCAGCACCAGGGGATAAAACTCCTCCACTAAAATTTTAATAATATAATTAAAATTTTATGAAAAAAAATATTACATATATGTTTAAATTAAATATAAAAACGTACTTTACAGGTATTTTATCTGATTCTTTGAGAATTGTTATAGCAGAAAGCAATAACATAGTGCATGTAGCACCATATCCAGGATTAGTTCCACTGACTTTGGTAATTAATACCTTGTTTGGTGGATCTTTATGCTTATCAGTAGGTTCAACTAATTTTTCAGTCCATCCTTCTGCCTTAAATGTAATGGAGAACTTAATTTTATCAAGGTCTTCTGGTTTAGCCATTTCATAGCCTACATATCCACCAGAGAAAAATGTAGGATACTAAACAAAATTTTATAAAATTGTATTTTTTGTTTAAAATATCAAAATAATATATGAAATATTTTATGTTAAAAAAAGATATAACATACCTTCAATAACAAATTACGACCAAATTCGTATTTAGATAACATTAAAAATATGAAACCAAAAATAGTAGTTGTTAATACTGCAAAAAGAGAACTGGAAAAAAATTATTTAATATAGAATTTTAAATGTAATTCATATCATTCATTTTAATAAATTGATTACTTAAGTGTGAAATAAGTTTGAACTTGCGCTGGTCGTTGTTTATATTTTTCATATAAAAATCGTTGAGTACGCAAAGTTACAGAACGATCAGCTCCTGGAAATATCATAGACCATCCTTCTGATAGAGAAGATTTATGAATGAAACCCCTAAAATGATTAATAATATTAAAAATTATATTAAATATTAAATAAATATAATAATTAAATAAAGTGTAATTAACCTTGTTTTAAGTTTTGGCCATAATTCAGGTAACTTTTCAGGATAAAGTTTAGTGCGCAATTCGCGTAATTCATGAGAATGTGCTATACCATAAATAGCTGATTCATATGTTCCATAATTTAAAGTAGCACCACTGATTTTTGAGGTTGACCATAAATTTAAATAAGTTTCAATAGAATTGACTTCACCATCAAATTTTTGTTGCGTAAAAATTATACCAAGATCACATGGTATACTATCAAATCCACATGCACTTATAATATAGATACCAGCTTCTTCTGCAGCTTTATTATATTTTAATTGAATATATTCTATATACTATAATAAAAATATAGAAAAATAAATAATATAAAAGTGCATAAATGAATATAAATTAAATTAATTTGAACATTAACATCAATAAGTTTGAAATAATTCAATAAATTACCTGGGGTTCTCCACTGACATCAATTTGATGAGTATGTGTGGCAATACATGCTTTAATAATAGGTTCTCCATAAAATCTATATGGGCCACAACAATTAATAAGGACTTTTGCATGTGATGTCATTTTTTTCAGTGATTCTTCATCTTTCAAATCAGCAATAAATATAGGCACATCATCTGAAAAAAATTACTCATATAATTTTTAAATATATAATTTTATATAATAATAAAATTTTATATAATAATTTTATATAATAATTATAATGAAAATTAAATGTTAAAATTGTAATTAATTAGAATTTAATTTTACCAATATTAGAAGCAAATTCTTTAACAATTGCTTCTAAAGCTTGCTTTCTGCGTCCAGACACTCCAAATTTCATTTGTTTTTCTACAGCTAATTGTACTGCTATTTTTACAGCATATTTTCCTGTAAATCCAGTAGCTCCAAA